AAATGCCAGTTCTCGACTCCCATCGGAAGAAATCGCGTTCCGCGGGGCCCCACGCAATTGCGTGGGTTGCGTGGTGCCTAAACACGCTACTGACAAAATGAGAAATGGATTGTAATATTTAAGATATGTAAGAAAAGTAACAAATAATAAAATAAAAAATCAGAAAGTCAGAAAGAAGACCAAATGCAATTTAGTATGCAAATATTGTTCTCTTTAACATAAACTACCATTTTTTTTTTTTTTTACATTTATGATGTTTTAAAAAATCTATTTCAAATAAATGCTGTTCTTTTTTATTTATTTTTTTAATCAAAGAAAAAACGTATGGTTTCCACAAAACTATTACGCAGCAGCACAACTATTTGTGACCCTAAAGTTGACCAAATGAAGTTCTTAGCAATGCATATTATTAATCAAAAATTAAGTTTTGATATATTTATGGTAAGAAATTTACAAAATATCTTCATGGAACATGATCTTTAATTAATATCCTAATGATTTTTGGCATTAAAGAAAAATCGATAATTTTGATCACGGCTTTGAGATAAAAAAAAACATACACAAACAAAACCAAATTAAACCCTGCAGCTCGTGACTATACATTGATGTGTAAAGACACAAAACGATCGGTCTGTGCAAGAAACTGAACAGTATTTATATAATTTTTTACCTCCGATTCACCGCAATGTCCGAACTGTTTGAACTGTCCTGAGAGTCTGCGATCCGCCGTAAAGCAAGAAAAAGAAGAAGACGCCTCACGAGCCTGCTGTTGAGAAAACGCTCAGGAGGATGCGCGGCCGCTCAGGACAGTTCGAACATTGCGTGAATCAGAGGTAAAAAAACAATATAAATACTGTTCAGTTTCTTGCACAGACCGATCGTTTTGTCTTTACACATCAATGTATCGTCACAAGCCGCAGGGTTTAATTTGGTTTTGTTTGTGTATATTTTTTTTTTACTCTCAAAGCCGTGATTCCCATTCACCTCCATTATAATGCTGACAGACTGCAACGGTTTGTGTTAAAAATCTTCGTTTGTGTTCTACTGAAGAAACAAAGTCACCTAAATTTTCATTTTTGGGTGAACTATCCCTTTAAGACTGGTTTTGTGGTCCAGGGTCACATTTTAACATTTATAAGAAATGTTTCTTGAGCAGCAAATCAGCATATTAGAATGATTTCTAAAGGATCACGTGACACTGAAGACTGGAGTAATGATGCTGAAAATTCAGCTTTGCCATCACAGGAATAAATTATGTTTTAAAGTAGTTATTTTAAAGTGAAATACTATTTCACAATATTACTGATTTGCTGCATTTTGAATCAAATAAATGCAGCCTGCATGAAATTAGATTTCTTTCAAAAATCTTGTCCTCAAACTTTTGAAAGGTAGTATACTGTATATATGTGTGTATATATATATATATACACTGTATATGTATGTATATATATATATATATACTGTATGTATTTGTACAATTATGCCCTTGTTTGTATTGTACTTAAATAAGGTGGACATAAATATTTGAAACATGCTTGTGGGTATATAATTATCTCGTTACAGGCCTTAACACCCCCTTTTCCAGCTCACCCACAGCTTTCCATGTAAGAGACATTAATTAGTGTGTTTGGAAGTAAACAGAGAGAGAGGTAAACAATACACCGTAACTAATAACGGAGCGGCCGTGAGTTAAAGAGCAACATGTTCAGATTGGACACAGCAGAAGCAGCCACAGGAGACAGCTAATGGCTTTTAAATGACTGACGGATGACAGTGTGTGCGCTTTCCTAATTGAATAGAGAAGGCCATCGGATCCAAAAATAAACTCCATGAATTTATCACTCCTTAGTGTGTTCTTCATTAAAAAGATGTAAAGGACAAAGGAGTGAGAAGAATGGGATTAATTTGTGAAGCAACCAAAAATAAATAATGACCATTGAAATATTGGTTATTAGATCTGTGTTCCCCCTATATGAGTCTCCACCAAAAATATAGTATGCCATGAATGGTGGGTAAATTTTTCTCTTCACTTGCTGTTAAGTAATATAAATGTACACTTTCACTTCCCATATGCCAGTTCTGACTGAACACATTCAAGGCTTCAATGAGCAATCTCACTACTTTTAGTTGCAAAAATTAAAATTCTGTGACCATTTATTCACCTTCATGTTTTTTCAAACCTGCATAACTTTATTTAGTCTGATGAACGGGCTCCAAACTAAATTTCATTATCTTTAATTAAGGTCTTTTCATTATTTATTTATAATTTAAGATCCATTATTATTATTATTATTATATTATTAATATCTTCTTTTGTGTTCTGCAGAAGAAAGTTGTTGAACATTTAATCTATTAATCATTTTTGCATAAAACTTTTTACAGTAGAAAAAAAAATACTGAGTGCCTCCTTAGTACTTTCCTAACAAGAACAGCAGTAGAGGATCTAGAAGAAGTGTACAAGATGAAATGCAATAGCTGTGTTAGGAAGACATAAACACATTAACAAACGTGAAATGCAGAACACCTTGACCTCACAAACAGCAAAATAATTGAGAGTTGTCTGAATTTTCCAGCTGAGAAATGGTTTTCATTTACAGCTGAGGTTATAAAAAGTGAGTAATATAGGTATGAGTGCTGAATGTGGCTAATAAATGGATGGGGACGGGATGTGCCAAATCAACCCAGTCTGGCTGAGCACAGAAATAGTATGAAGAAAAAGTCATTTACAACAACAAGGTCAGCGAACATTATATGAGATTCATAAATATGTAAAATACAATAAAAGCCTTTTCATTTGAGATTCATTTATATGTTAAACAGAGGTTTAGGCATGATAACAGAAACATTTTCATGTAAAAATTTAGCATACAAACTACAAACTTCTGCTCTTTAATTTTTTTACATGCACCAAGGCGCAGAGTATAATTTCCTAATTAATGTTTTTCTCCACTGGAAAAAGGGGACTTGGGAAGAAATTGGACTGCATTTGACAAAAAATGAAAAATAATAATAATCTATGTACATCTATGCCGTTTCTTCTACAGGGGCAAACAAATATGAATATTTATAAGATTAAATAAATAATACATAATGGATCTTAAATGATAAATAAATAATAATAAAAAAGAATTAAAGATTTTCTTTACTATTATGACATTTTCCCCTCATTTATTTAGTTAATTATTAGCATAACAATTTGTGACCCTGGACCACCAATCCAGTCATTAGAGTCACTTTTTTTGAAATCGAGATTTATACATCATCTGAAAGCTGAATAAGATTTCCATTGATGTATGGGTTGTCAGGATAGGACAATATTTGGCTGAGATACAATTATTTGAAAATCTGGAATCTGAGCGTGCAAAAAAATCAAAATATTGAGAAAATCGCCTTTAAAGTTGTCCAACTGAAGTTCTTAGCAATGTATATTACTAATCCAAAATTAAGTTTTGATATATTTACGGTAGGAAATTTACAAAATATCTTCATGGAACATGATCTTTACTTAATATCCTAAAGATTTTTGGCATGAAAGAAATATTGATAATTTTGACCCACACAGTGTATTGTTGGCTATTACTACAAATATACCTCAGCGACTTAAGACTGGTTTTGTGCTCCAGGGTCCCATTTAGGTGAAAAGTTGAATTAACATGGCTTACAGCATGAACGACATGAACTCAAGTTTGTGTAAAACCTGATGATCATGTTCTCCAGCAGGATTTGAGAATGATCCAAAGAGCACCTTGTGTTTCAATGGAAGCAAGAACATCTGACCTTTTGGTAACCGGTAAATGTCACAAATTTCTTACATTTGACCAGTTACCTCGAAATAGGGCAAAAGCTCAAACATTTGCCCTTCATTTTCTATCCTAACTTTCTTTTTCCTTTTTTAAAATTGCAAAACATATTTTAAGAATTAAATTAGATTACAAAACCCTTAACTTCCAGTTCAGAAACACCCCTACATAACACTTAGACACCTCCTGCACTGAGCCGCGGATACCCATGCTTGACTCCACAGTTCTGCACCTGTAATGTGATGTGACAGCAGCACTGCCGGTTTTCTGTCTGGCTGCGCATCAATGCACCACAGATTTGATCTCCCGCATCATCTCAACCGCAGCTGCACCAAAGCACATCCCCGGAGACTCTGTTCCCAATTCATTTACATGATCACACATAAGAGGTCAATTCAAAAATTTTTGGCAACAGTCACTGCAAAACCAACCTGTTTTCCTTTCTAGGCAAAATAAACTGAGTGGCACAATTTGCTAAGACCATTCTGTGAATACATTTATGTGAAATAACAGCAGGATTCTTGTTTACGAAACTCATCTATTAATTCATATTCATCTTTCATTGAGGTTGCTGCACACACCGATTCATGAATACACAGATTGAAGTTTTCACACTAAGTTTTTTATTACTGTAAAATGTCTAACAAGCTGGAAAAAAAACCACATTCTTTTTCCACTTATGGATAAACAAATAGAAGTGAGTAATGTCCACTGAGGCAGAGATCAAAAGAAGAAAGTGCTCATTTCTGCTGTGAAAGGAAAGCAATCATACTCTAAACAAACATATCTCATCAAAACTCCATTTAATACCACGTCAAGGCAGTCAGCGGAAAACAAAATCACTTGTCTTTCCTTTCAAACTGCAAGTCCTGCTAAATACTGTTGAGAAAAAGAGCCATGGAAAAATACATGAAAGCAAGAAGATGCAGAAATGTCTCGGCAGCTTTGAGCAAAACAACATTTGTCACTTGCTGTCATTCAAAAGTCAGAAATGTCAGAAAAGCCCCAGAACCCAGAGGTCACTGCAGCAACACTGTTATTCATTTGGATGTCTCTGAATGTGGCGAGACCGCAAACAAACTGGTAAGGTAGCGCTGTGGGCATGTTTGCTAATGTACGATACTCTTGTTTACAACTGTGATACTTTGGTATCATTGGCACCAGAGTAGTTTCATATGCGAATATGGCAGAGGGATGAGAAAAAAGAAGAACGGTCAACGATATAACACTACATTTCTCAGCTCTGGCACGTCGCACAACACTGTTGTGAGAGCGATCAAAACTATTCTTTAAAAAAAAAACGGACAAAAGCGAGAACGAATGTGATGCAGACAGACATGATGAACTCAGAAGTACATGTCCTGGAAGAGGTTCTGGCCCATCTCAATGTACGCCTCTTTCTCCTGAGCGCTCATCTGTTCCACCAGCTCAGGTCTCTGGCTTACTTCCCTGTAAGAGAAAGGTCTTCCCCCTACCATAACCACAGGGTCGTCCCCGACCTCCTCGAACTCATCATCTTCGTCCTCCTCATCCTCTTGTTTTCTTGGCCGCAGGGCTGTAGCGTTGTGCATAGTGTGGGCTGGAGCCTGAGGCGGCAAGTCTTCGTCCGATTCACTGGTATCGCTGTCAGAGTCGCTGGCGTTAGCCGCTGGAACGGTCGGTCTGGACACGACAGCACCTCCTGGACCAACTCCGCTCCTCTTCTCGTGAATGAGGAGAGCCAGCATCACCTCCTCGTTCTCATCCTGTGTGGCTCCTCGTCCAGACATTCCCTCCTGGGTTACTATAGAGTCCTCGCCAGCTGGTGTGTAAAAATTGGAAGAAAAGAAGAAAAAAATAGGGTGAATTTAGATGCATATTTTCTTCACCATAAATGTGCTATACTTTCTAAACTCAATTTCTTTCTGAAGCCATAAGACAGCTTTATAGGAACAGGGTGTCATTTAAGTTGTTTTTCATTGACAATCTTGCCTTCCAAGTACTCAAATTTCACCCACACTTCCACACTTTCAAACCCATAAAGTATGATACATGCAATAAATTAACTGTACATTTGGTTTCTTCTCATCTTTCTTCAATGATGTTGAATATGCAAATAAGTGTTTTTTTTTCATATAATCACGATTTGAATAGGTGAAAGCAAAGTTTTTCAGTGAATAATGGCTTTAAATTTATGTCTATTTATCATGCAAAGCTATTTTATGGCTTTTAAAGTCTTGAAACCTGGCATATAGCACAAGAATAAGTCAAACAGACTACTTTTATTGTACTCTTTTGGCTTTGTAGGTAAAAATAAAATAAAATAAATAAATAAAAAACATGACTAGCAGTAGCCGCTTACATATTCTACTAAATATCTGTTTTTGTGTTCCATAAAAAATGTTTGGAATGGCAATAGAATAAAATATCCCTTTCAACCAATTTGTGCGCTTGCCCTTATAAATAGATAGACTGTGCATTCAGACCCATGAGGTGTATAAACAAGAGGCAAATCAAAAAATGCATGAAACAGTGTTAATATGCAACCATGACCACAAAAACCACTTTGAAAATAGTCGATCTGACTCACGTTGCTTCAGAGCATCTGTCTCGCTGTACGCCCCCTGCACTGTGCTTTCCGTCAGCCATACGGGCCTCTCTTTGGGGGCTTTTCCCTCGGTAGTCTGGCCAGGCTGAGGCTCCTGGTCTTCCATGCTGATGACCACATCCTGCGAGTAGAGGTCATACGATGAGCCCTTGTTTTTCCATACTTCCCGACCAGGTGCCCCTGCACCAGCTCCTCCTGCGATCTGGGCGGCCCGCTCCCGACTGTAGAAAATAGCAAAGTATTTAATAATCTGAATTAACTTTTATATTTTCAGTTTTAATTTTAGTTATTAGGTTTTTTTATTTTGTTGTATGCTTTTGTCATTTTTTTTTGTTTTTATTTAATAGCTTTAGTTGAAAACAACACTGTCTCGTGCATAAAACTGGCCACTTTGACTGAACAGGAGGTGCTGACCTTTGTTTTAGGGCTGGGATTTCTGACGGTTCGGGCTCCAGGAGATCGTGTGACAAGTTGATGTCCTCCGTCTCTCGTAGCAATACATAGATAGGCTCGATCTGCTCGTTGAATCGCGCCACCAAAGTACGGGCGTCTTTCTTTGGCACGGCTGATTCGTCCTCCTCTACTTCTGTTTGACAGAAGGTACAGCGGAACGTTCCTGTGTTTGAAAAAAAAAAACACAAAAATATCAAGTGTTGAAACAGTAGCATTCTGCTTATCAACCCTCATTCTCAACCACTTCACCACACCACATCCATCATGTTTGGCATCTCCAGGTCATTCGTTTTGGAAGTTAGAGCCCAGAAAAACTTTAAGTGGCTTTATATCTCCGGTTTCTTGTTAGCCAGAGGCTGGGATTCCATGTCCCCTTTTCCCACAGACATGGTGCAAATTGTGGAGTTGGAGCAAATGCCCAATCTGGCCCACCTATCCTTTGGCGTTTCCACCAGGCAGTTTTGGGACAGAAAATGTGGCTTCACTCACAAACCCGCTGGTTTCGAACCAGGAACCACTAACATCAGTAGCCAGCGGGTGAGAGAAAATGTTGTCACCATACAAAGTTTTCAAACCAGCAACAAATCAGTCTGGCTAAACAAGACATGCTCATTATAAATGACTACCTGTGTTCTGGGATCGGCCAATGCTGCACAATAAGTCTAAAATAAACTGATTAATTTATAAATACACCACTGTTCAAAAGTTTGGGGTTGGTAAGATTTTTTGGAAGCTTTTGAGAGAACACTCTTATGCTATGCACTACATTTATTTGATAAAAACTGAAATTTCGTGAAATGTTACCATTTAAAATAACTTTTTTAACATGTAATTTCCTGTGATGGCAAAGCTGAATTTTTCTAATATGAAATGATCCTAATATTTTGGTTCAGTGCAAAAGAAACATTTCTTATTTTAATAAATATGTTGTGCTGCTTATTATTTTTGTGGAAACCATGATATATTTTTTTCAGTATTCTTTGATGAACAAAGTTCAAAACTTTTTTTTGTAACATTATAAATGTCTTTACTGTCACTTTTAATGTGACGTGACATGTGGCCAAGTATGGTGACCCATACTCAGAATTAGTGCTCTGCATTTATCCCATCCAAAGTGCACACACACAGCAGTGAACACACAATCCGTGAACACACACCCGGAGCAGTGGGCAGCCATTTTTTTTGCTGCGCCGCCCAGGGAGCAGTTGGGGGTTCGGTGCCTTGCTCAAGGGCACCTCACCGTATTGAAGGTGGGAGAGAGCGCTGTACATTCACTCCCCCCACCTACAATCCCT